CCCCAAAACCCCAAAACCCCAAAACCCCAAAACCCCAAAACCCCAAAACCCCGATTATTCTAAAAATTATTGAAATATAATATGAATGCTAACCAATCTCATACTTTTTACCCTCAATCTTCTCCTAAAGCTAAAGGGAAGATGAATAAATTGACAACAATTCAGGAGGAATTATTAAAGAGAAAAAGTAAAATTACCAACAAATTTATGAATCCTGGCTCGTTTCATTCTCCTAAAAACGAATCTCAAGTTCAAAGGAAAAGAAGGCAAGTATTAAAGACCCAATCACGACTTAAAGGGCAGTTGCAATCTCCTATTAATAAGCCTAACAAAAGCATCTTTGAAATTTCAAATACCAATGCCAAGAAAGTTCAAATGTTTGGAAACAAAAGAACTTCTTTGAACCCCACAGCATTATTTAATAACAATCTGTTTGACAGATCTCCAGAGACAAGAGAGACAAGGAATTAACTCTAATAACAGCATTAACAAGCACCATAATATTTCAGAATTTATTAGTTCTCATGGTTTATCATCCCCTCCTCCCATCCATAAATCGCATAACAGAAGTAGAGTGATTGAAGATCCTCATTCTAAATCTATACTAGTGTCTCCTATACACAGAAATTCTGTTTTTAACTCTCCTCCTCCAACAAGACCTTCTGTTATGAGTCCTCTAAATGCTCGGAGAAAGACGAATCACGGCCAGTCTATCAGCAGGAATCCTATTCAAAACAACTTTAGCTTGCAAAGAGATAAAATTCCTAGGAACAACCAAAGAAATAGCAAAATCCTCAACCCCAAAATTCAAGGAAAAATCAGAAGAAGTAATGCTAAAGGTAAAGCAATGGTATTTGACACTTTTGGTCTTGACTAGAAAAGTTGTCTTGCTCAATATATGGTAATCGCAATTATAAATCCAATGAAGCATTTCCTTAAACTAGCCTATATGCTTAGTTATTTTAATATGAATTACTGGTCTACAATCTGGTATGAAAGTCCAAATTTAACTGTAATATAGATAGTACAGCTAAGGATAATAGGTCTGGAAGCAGTGACCATTACCTATCGTTCCAACATCAAAATAGAAGCAGTTCAAAAATGGTGGATCATGAGTTATATACTATCAGATCACTTGTTACAAGAGGTTTGAGAATCTATCACATGGCCAATACTTTATCAAAGATCTTACCTCCTTCTGTGAAATACAGAAGAGATGACCTTAAGGATATTCTTAGAGACAAATTTCTTCTCTCAGGCTTTGAAGCGGGAAAATTTGCAGATTATCTATTTCACGAAGCTGGAAATGTATTAAAGCTTGACTTTGCCGCTCAAAGAATCTGAGATTTTTGAAGATTTGATCAAAATGTTAAAAGAGAAGAGAACATAGTTTCAAACATCATAACCTCGATTCACTATTCTAATGATCAAATAGGTACATTTGTCAAATAAATTAAGAGGTTGTCTCTCTTCTGGCCAGATATTGCCTAGTGACATTAGGATGTCAGCTTTTGAATGAGGAGTTATATTTGATACTGAAAAACTATGAGATTATTTCCTTGGAGTATCTCTCAGTTTGACTCAAATTAATGCTCATGAACTTCAAACTCAATTCATTAATAATGTGTTTAATGAGAATGCTGAAGAAAGTAAAACAATAATAGAAAAGAAAAAGAGTGATAAAGGTGTCAACAAAACAGTTAACTTTAACAGAAAGAAGATTCTGTCTAAGAATATTAAGCCAAAGATCAACGTAGGAAAAATAAAATTCAAGAATTCTCAATCCAAGCATCCTCAATCTAAGAAATCAAGAGTAATATCTAAATTTCACCTAGGAATGATCAATAAAGAAGACTACTCAGAAGATGAAGTCAAAGATGCATTTCTGTATTTATTAGAGAAATTCTTCATTAATAAATACAGAATATCCCAGGTCCTTGGCCCTTACATTATTGATAAAGTCTATGACGGGAGAGAATACCAATTAATAAAAAGAAGCAAGCTTTTCAGTGCGTTTGAAAAGTTTAAATTACTCAAAAATGAAAATGCTGAGAATATTTTAAAATCACTATTCCAACCGTTAATAGAAGACTTGATTGATGTTAATAAAATTAGAGAGACCTTCTCAGAATTAGGAATTTGTGAAGAACTTCCTCCTAAAAATAAGCATTTAGATTATGCTTCCATCACAGGGCCTACAATCAGAATCTTTAATAGAATGATAAAATATATGGAAGAGAACAAAATAGATGGAATTACTAAGATTTTAAGAAAATCAATGTTCAAAAACTTTCAAGTCGAAGTAACCCAAACAAAAAGAACTGAATTTGTACCTACTATTGATGCAGAACGATTATCTAAGCTTTTCAGAGGTCTGGAAATAATAGATCCATCTGAAGACCTGGATGAAGAATTCATCTCCTTCTTAGAATTAAGCCCTGACAAAGAAAATTTTATAATGATAGCAAAGCTTAAAAAGGCACTTAAGGAGATAAAAGCTTGAAAATATTTCAGAGCTTTTGGAATTAACAGGAGGCAAGGGTTCCCTAATCCCTATGATCCAAGGAATTCTGCAGATCAAGATCCTAAAATAATTAAATTAATGAAAGATTACTCCTTAGAATCCTTAAATAAACAAGGACTCACAGAGAGTGATAATAACATTAGAGTCCAACTTGCCTTAGTTAACTGGAAAATGGAAAAACTCAAGGAACTTAAGGTTCAGGAAACAGTTAAAAAGGCAGTTCAAAAATTCAAAGAGCTTCTTGAAAATAAAAGAATTAGGGAGGGAACTATTGTTATTGGTGGTGGTATTCATGACACTCTCACTCCTCCAGGCTATATTATGCCCTGAGCAGGTAACAGAGACTTGGTTACTAACACAATCGATCCTGATAATTTTGTATCTGTTGATCTTGATCAAGAAGACCAATACAATAGAAGCATGTTGAGGAAACGATTTGGTCTTGCATCCTCATGAAATTATGACCTAAAGAGAAGATAAAATTTGACTATATTTACTATCTTTGTTAATTCTTATAAAAATACTTTAAAATTAGAGATAGCTCAATGAGAGAGATTAATAATGGGGTTTTGGGGTTTTGGGGTTTTGGGGTTTTGGGG